GGGGCAGTGGCTGGCAACATAGTGGGCTGTGTAGAAGCAATCGAGCTGCACCGCTGCATCCCGAATGCTTCCACCTGACAGGTGAGCCCTGCTAAAGGTAAAACAAAAACTACATGTCCTGGGTGTCGGGCGATATGCACTTTACATCCCTGAAGAGGATCCAGGCTGCTCTGTGCAAACCACTGCATACAGCAGGTAAGTATAGACATGTCTGTTATTTTACAAAAAAATTAAAAAAAAAAAATGAATGTTTAGTATTGCTTTAAATATCCAATTTCATATCCCACCAGTAGATACTGCTGCCCGTATATAAAAAGGCACCATAGTTTATTCCTTACAGCTTGCAAAAAAGGAGCGTGCCTAACAGGACATCGCAAAACGCATGCTCAGAAACATGTGCCACATAACGTCTAATGACATCATCACGCCTTACGTTCCACATGCGTTCCAGTCCTCCTTCCTGATCCTCCTCCACACTAAAGCCGGCTTTTGGAGTGAGACGAGCAGACTGTTACACAGCCAAGGACACGGCCTGCGTTCAAGACCTTCTCCACTCACCAAATGCCATTACTATGCACCTGCCTCTCTCTTCAAATATGTGAGTTGCTAACGCACATCTTTTTTAAAATAAAAATTATAAACGGGTCTACATTTGGAAGCGCCTTTGAATCCCTTTTGTCTTTCATGCATTATTTGGAGATCGCTTCTACTGCTTACAGAGGCTTGCCCTAAACCTGCAGATCCCCCCTATACTGCGGTACTCTCCCCTTACTTCCGGATAGACTTTTCTCCATAAGCATATGAGCTTTTCCATCTAAGAGTCAGATTTATTGCACCATTACCCTCTTTTTCATAGGTGGGGCATAAGCCCGCCACCTTCAATGGAGGCTGGCAAAAAGGACCAAAGGAACCAAGACCAGATCTCACGGCTAAAAGAAAGAAACACACGGGGGGGGGGCAGCACACAGAAAACCCCTTGGCTGAAGGTAAGAAGCAAAGAGTTGGTGGCTAAGGGATGGTGAAAACAGAATGCCAGGGCAGAACCTGGCCAAAAATGGTACTCAAGACAAACAAGTGTACAACAGGCTGCCAGAGAAGACAAAAACCCAAGCCACAGAGCAGTAGTGAGACTGGGCACCTGGAGCCATGCCCTGGACCAGGTAAGCCTACAAGGGCCAAATGATAGGTCTTCCGATAGACAGACGTGCAATGCATCAACACAGTACAATCACGAAACCGACAACCCCCCAATCAGAAATGGTAAAGCAGGAAGGTCGAACACCTTTGATAATAACAGAAGGTTCTGTCAAAGCAACGGCTGCCAGGGGCGCCCAGGATCAGCCACACCAGACCCACTAAGCTAGACTGTAGCCACCAGAAGGACTGGAACTCCTCCTGCCACCATCCTGCATCTCAGACAGGGAAGCTGATCCCCCGGCACCACCAAGCATACCTGCCACATCCACCAGGGAGTCCTTCACTCTCCTCATGAACCTCGGCACCTTACCCCTGAAGCGAGACATCAGGAGGGTAAAATCCTGGGCCCTTCAGCTCCAGCAGATCTGATAGAACATACCCGGGTGTATAAATACACCTACCCTGATCCAGATTAGGATGAGGCATCCACCTGCCAGTTTCCAACACCAGGAATAGACACAACAGAAGGTGCTAACATGTACAATTCCACTCACCAAAGACGGCGGGAAACCTCCAACGCCACTACCACACTCTGTGCCAACCTGGCAGTTGATCTAGGCCACTACGGTGGCGATGGCTAATATGATTCCAACCAAGCGTTCATAGAGAAGTTCTAGCACCCTAGACATATCATTCATGCTCGCAGCCCAAGATTTTGGAGGGCAGACAAGCCTCCACCAGCTGACCAAACATGAACCCAAGACTCTAACCCATCCAGATACCAAAACTATCGACCAAGGAAGGGTAGGGAAGTAGCTCCCCGGCCTGTAGAGAGGACAATCAAAGCCACCCACATAGAGATATCATGGGCAATCAACCCAGACAAGTTGGTCATCCAAGGAAGCAGGAGATGCATACTAGTTGCCAGGATAGGCCTCTGAAAAACGCATAGAGGACTGCTCAAATAGGACTGCCTTGAAGGTGGGAACCAGGAGCCCCAGGAACAGCACGCACAAGCACAAAAAAAAAGCATCTGCAGGGCAAGAACAGCTGGACCAAAGTCTGAGCACCCCAAGCTTGGCCATCGGGAAGAATATCCTGGTCTGCGCCAAAGCAAGGGACCGACCCAGTGATAGCTGTCCTCTGAACAAGGGTAAAGAGGAGTCCTGAAGATGCAGGTACCAACCGAAGCCCTACAGAGTACTTTCTGATCTCCACAACAACCATAAGTGCAGTGCAAACCCCAGCTCGCCGAAGAAAGATGTCCAGGCAAATAAACATGGTAATCCCCTTTTGGCTCAGCAACGCCAGGGTCAGGCCAACACTTCAGTAAGAACCCAAGGAGCCGAGACCAAGCTGAAGCGAAGCATTACAAATGGACAATTCATTTTCCCTTCCGCAAAGCACCAGAAGGACAGTGCCCTGCAAAGCTGGGACCATGCAGGTATGCGTGCTCGATGACCCTGAAAGCCAGGATTTTTTTTTTTTTTTTAGAAAGGGTGACGCCACTAAACAGGTGGATTCCAACAGGAACTTCTGTAACACACAAGGCAGTACAGGACCCGGAGATCCACGAACGGGCGAACCCCGGCCCTCTACGAAAAATAAGATTTGGGGAGCGCCCCCAAGAACAGACTGTCTCTGAAAACAGAGCAGCCACCCTTTGGTGAAGCAAATCTAGAACCACCATGTACAAAGCCTGCAGGCGGGGAAGGGGAGGCAAAGGTTGTTCAGGAGAAATTTTGCTTACTGGAGGAAGAGACGGAAAATGTATGCTGCAGCTGAGAACAATCAGGACTTGGAAAAACTGCTGAGAATGAGGAAGGATCACAGGCCCGCAAACCAGTAAGGACAACCCCATCCTGGGAACGAGCGGGAGTGAGCTGACTGAGGGGAACCTGTCCATGGGCTTTGGGGTCTTCTGGGGTTAAGGTGCCATTGACAATACCCACAAGAGCCTGTGAGGTCTCAGAGTTCTTGTCCAAGGAACCAGAGGAATGAATGCAGAAAAAGGAAGGTCCAAGTTTATGATATGGCTCCAATACCATCTTGTCCTGTGGGAGGAAGTACTCCTGCCATTTGGAAGGTTCCAGTTGCTGTCATCCAAGGTTGCACTGAGAAGACTTACTCAGGCAGGTAAATGCCGCCTGGGACCCTTTAGACTTCTGGTAGTGGAACAACCCTGAAGCCACGTAACCGCCAAAAAAAAAGCGGGGCTACATCAGGAGAGGTGTCACATGCAAACTCCAGGTTCTGGACCAACAAGTTCACAAGGACCACCTACACCAGGGACACCTGTCCTGTCTTCAAACCTTGTTGTAACCTCTGGGCCGGTAACAGAAAAAAAAATAATGCAGTGACTGAATTTGCCTCACGGTCCTCAGGACCCCGAAACAGGAGATTCCCTCCACCTGTAACAAGGTTGTTTGCATCAAGATATGAGATCCGCCACAGGTGGAATGGTCCACTTCATTAGAAGGGCCTATCCCAAGGGCGTAACATACTGACAAATACCGGGGAATGGCCCAAAGGAGCCAGCTTGTGGGCACCATAAGGGAACAGCCACTGTTCTCCAGCACCACCCGAAGGGGATTGACCACCAGCGACTATGCCTGCACTAGACAGTGGTAGAGTAGTAAAGTAAGCACTCACCTGAGTAAAGGGCCAGCAATGACAACTAGGACCACCATACCTGCTAGGAAAGGGTCATCACCCAACTCAAAATAAGATCCACCCTTCTCATATCCCAGCTCACCACAGGAGCGTACAAGCAGGGGTATATTTACCGCAAGATAAACAAGGCATTTTTCTTGGGCAACACCAACCCCAGGAAGAAGGGACACATGTGATGATGGGGTACCGGTGAGGCACTGCATGAGCTCCGCTCTGCCACTGACAGCCGTGTGCCATCTGGTGGAACAATAGAAAGCCAGCCATGGGACTTGCTGTACTAAGTCCGTCTCACCTCCCTCACCACGACTACGTGCCCGGATTCGCTCCTGAGGACATGTCCACATCACAAATTGGCAGTCATGTGACCAGTGGTGGGCTGGAATTTTAGTATGGTGTAATGATTGTGCGCAATAGGAAAATGGAAGCTGTAGGCGACAGCCAACTTGCTAAGGCCATTTTGTTTACATGAGCAGTGACCTCCCTCCCTCCTGCAAACTACTACTATTTGTAGATGTAACTTTTGACAGACTTCAAAAAAGCTCTTATCTCAGTCAGGGACAACAGAACAGCAGCAAACAGACCTGGTCTGGTCAGAGCTGCAAAACATTAACCGGTTCCACGCAGTCCTATAGCAGAACTACTGCTACAGGGCAGCAGGGTTGCACAAAATCACAATATATATATATCTATATACACACACACACACATAAATATATATATATACATACAGTTGTGCTCAAAAGTTTGCATACCCTGGCAGAAATTGTGAAATTTTGGCATTGATATTGAAAATGACTGATCATGCCAAAAAAAGCTCTTTTATTGAAGGATGATGATCATATGAAGCCATTTATTATCAAATAGTTCTTTGGCTCCTTTTTAAATCATAACAACAGAAATCACCCAAATGGCCATGAACAAAAGTTTACATAACCTGGAATGTTTGGCCTAGGTACAGACACACAAGGTGACACACACGGGTTAAAATGCCAATTAGAGGTTAATGTCCCACATCTGTGGCTATTTAACCACTAGCCTACAGGGCACTTATACCCCCTTCCTGCCCAGGCCAACTTCTAGCTTTCAGCACTGTTGCACTTTGAATGACAATTGCGCGGTCATGCAACACTGTACCCATATGACATTTTTAACATTTGTTTGTGACAGATAGAGCTTTATTTTGGTGGTATTTAATCACCTCTGGGTTTTTTATTTTTTCTTAAACAAACCAAAAACCACTGAAAATTTTGTAAATAAGTGATTTTTCTCCTTCACTGATGTACGCTAATTAGGCTGTAGTGATGGTCACTGATAGGCTGCACTGATGGACACTGATAGGTGGCACTGATGGGCACTGATGAGGAGGCACTGGTAGGTGGCACTGATGGGCATTGACAGGCATCACTGATGGGCACTGAAAGGTAGCACTCATATATGGCACTGATAGGCGGCACTGACTGGCACTAATAGGCAGCACTGATAGGCGGCACTGACTGGCACTGATTGGTGACACTGAAAGGCATCTCAGATGGGCACTGAAATGTGGCACTGAGAGCTGGCATTGATGGACACTGACAGGTGGAGCTGCTGGGACTACACAGATCATCAGGGCACACTGATCATCAGTGCTCTGATGATCTGTGTACATGTCCCCTCCGAGGAATGCGTGACAGCTCGTGAGGAGAGAAATGCCGATAACCGGCATTTCCCTGTTTCCCTGTGATTGGACACAGCTGATCACATGACCGAGCCGACATCTTCGGCTCTTTCCGTTGATCAGTGATCCGCTGTGTCCGAGGGACACAGCGCACCGCCGATCACCGTGTGCTCACGGAGCCACGCATGCGCGGTTAGAATGGGAGGATGTCATATGACGTCCTCCCAGAATGAGAGAACCACCTTGCGTCCGTCATTCTACTATATGGCGGGCGGGAGGCGGTTAAATTGCAATTAGTGTCAGTGTATAAATAGTCAATTAGTTTGTTAGCTCTTACATGGAAGCACTGACTAGGCTAGATACTGAGCCATGCGGATCAGAAAAGAACTGTCAAAAGTCCTGTGTAACAAGGTAATGGAACTTTCTAAAGATGGAAAAGGACATAAAAAGATGTTCAAAGCCTTGAGTATGCCAATCAGTATTGTTAAATCAGCTGTTACGAAGTGGAAAGTTCAGGGATCTCTTGATACCAAGCCAAGGTCAGGTAGACATCACCGGTGTCAATCACCGAGTCCCGGCCGGTGATTACACGCCGGGAGCCCAGTGATTACAGGCAAACACTTACAGGGAGGACGGCTGCATTGTTTACAATGCAGCTCTCCTCCCTGTAAGTTTGGGCACACTGCTCGGGATGGCTGAGCACAGCCATCCCGATCAGTGTACTTACAGTGAGGCACACATCCCCTGCCCCCTAGTGAAACAATCCCATCACACAGTTAACCCTTTGATTGCCCCCAAATGTTAAACCCTTCCTCCCAGTGCCATTAGTACAGCGTCACTGTTTTTTTTATTTTTGCACTGATCACTGTATTGGTGTCACTGGGTATGTCAGTGACCCCAAGTCACCCCCCACTCACCCCAAGAGTCAGAATGTCCGCTGCAGTCCTGCCATAAGTCGCTGATCGTCGCCATTATTAGTATTTGAAAAAAAGAAAACCCTAGTGTATTTTCCACCATTTGTAAACTCTATAACTTTCACGTAAACCAATTAATTTACACATATTGGGAAGCCTAGTCATGGCGGTGTAGGAGAGCACGGAGCGGGTGCTCTCCGAGATATCTACACTGCCCCAGATGCCTACAGAGGTGTGAACCAGGGACCTACCTGAGAGTGGCGGGGTCCAGAGCGGAGTCGGCGGTCTGGGGAGAAGGCGGGCCATAACAGCGGGGTTCACTGGAGGCTCGTAGGAGGAAGTCCGGCCTGACGTGCGGGGATGCTGTGAGAACGAAAAGATGCGGCGTGACCATGTGGGCAGCTGCGGAGGAGTACTGGGAAGGGGAAAAGCCGGCCAGCGTCCAAAGTGAGAGCGAAGATGCCGGTTCGCTCCACCCTCAGCACACGAGTGAAACTTTCCATGGACAACCTGCTCCCCTTGTGAACCAAGTCTATACACAGGGGAGTGGAACTTGAAAAAGAAGAGTCCCAGAGGAATCCCCCTGAAGAGAGCAATGGAAGACTGAAGCTTTCTGCTGGTGGCCTGTAGCTGTCTCAACAGAAGGAAAGCAAGCAGAGGGTGAATGTGAGCAGCTTAGGCTGGCCAATATTAATAAACAGTGACTGTTTGTTTAAAGGGAAAAAGAAGGTATATGAAGGGGGGATTCCCTGGGGAGGATGGAATGAGATGAGGAACTAGCAGCCCTAGAAGAAAAAGGAGAATATAGTGGAAAAGTGGAAAATAAGTGTGGATTAAAATCTGGGTCCCTGGCTTGCATTCGTTAATTCATTGTGCTTCCTGTATTTAAGCAAATAAGACACACAGAAGAGATGAAGAATAAAAATTGTTAAAAGCAGTGGGCTTAAGGGATCCCAAGCTGGTACGATAAAAAAGTATACGTCCCAAGGAAATGTGACTCCAGAAAGATCTCAAAGCATTGGTGAAAAAAGTGAGCTGGAAATTAGTTTGGAAGTTAGTCCTAGACTCTCCCTGGGAACAAAAAATAATAGTCAACAAGTAACACAGAAAATTTGGAGAGGAGAAAATTGGAAAGTGAATTACAAGCACCAAATAAGAAAGAGATGGCAGATATGTTTAAGAATTTAGAAACAACAATAAAACAAGAACTGACAACTATACGGAGTGATTTGGGGCAGATGTTATTGCGGATGGAGGAGAAAGAGGAAAGAATTAAAAATCATGCCCAATTTATCTCCGGTTTAGAAAAAAGGACAAAAGATATTAGGAAAGAGCAAAAAAGACTGCTTTATAGGATGGAGGTACAGGAAAACAGGGAAAGGAGGAAGAATCTTAGGGTAAGAGGCGTTCCGGAGCTTGTAAAGGGAGAGAAAATAAGAGACTTTGTCTGTAAAATCCTAAATTCCATAATGGACAGACCAGAAACAGAATTGGTTAATGTGGAAGGGGTCTTTAGAATTGGAAGGATCCAACAAGGAAGTGGAAAAGAGAAATCGAGAGATATAATTGTCAAATTCCAGAAGATGGGAGATAAAGAAGAGATATGGAGAAAGATTAAGGGAAGATCAATCATTAAGTATGGAGAAATGGATATACAGATATTTGCAGATTTAACATCAGAGACACTATGGAGAAGAAGATCTTTGAAATTCCTGTTAGAGCAGATGAAAAAACAAAGTGTGCACTAAAGATGGGATATTCCAGAGTGTCTAATTGGATGGAAGAATGGAGTTACAGCTTATTTGAGATTCCCGGAGGATTTAAGAGACTTCTGTGACAAACTTGATTTACAAATTATAGAGATTTCTGGTTGGGAGGATGAGGAAGGAGACTGTGGGGCCAGAGTAAAGGAAGATTGGCAGTTAATTAGGAGAGGGAGATAGAGGATGGAGCTATTTTTGAAAAGAGTTTTAAAGAGATTGACGGATTTTAGAAAGGGGTTTTTGATAGTAGCTGGGGATTTTAATTTATGTTTTGACCCACAAATGGATACAACTTCTGTAACACAAAGAGAGGGGAGTAAGTCCCTAAGAGTACTGAGGAAAGTGATGATGAGAGTATCAGTTGGTGGACAGTTGGAGAATTACACACATGAAAGATAGAGACTATTCCTTCTTCTCAAAGGTTCATGAGATGTATTCTAGGTTGGACTATATACTGATAGATCATCGATTAATAGAGTCATTGGTTAAAGTAACAATAGAGGTAATGTCACTCTCAGATCATGCCCCGGTTGTAGTGAGAATGGGATGGGGAAGGAGGCCTCCAGGAGGGCCGGGATGGAGGTTGAATGAAGCTCTCCTAATGGATCAAGAGACTCAGCGGAAGATTGGAGAGGAGATTAGGAGATATTTTGAGGCCCACAAGGTATATATAAGGGGAATCCTTATTGCAATTGGGGCAAGAAAGAAAAGAGAAACGAGAGAGAAAATCAGTGGGCTCCTAAAGGAATTAGCGGAGTTTGAACAGATGCATAAAAAGAATATAACAAAAGAAATAATGCAGAAAGTAAAGAAAAAGAGAGAAGAACTAGAGATTATGATGGAAGAAGAGAAGAAGAGAGTCTTTAATAAAGTAGCATGTGAAAGATGGGGGGAAAGAACAGGAAAATATTTATTGAGAGCTTTGAGGAAAAAGAAAAATAGGAATTATATAGATAAAATAAAAAACCCCAAGGCAGAACTGGTTCACTCAACGAGAGATATCGCAAAGGTGTTTAGGGATTATTATAGTAAACTTTATAACATTGCCCCCCAAGATTTAACATCTAAAGATGGAATAGCAAAGGCGAAAAAAAGAATATATTTAAAAAACGCAGGTCTACCGAAATTAAATGAAGATCTTTTGAACTCTCTAGAATCTGAAATTACAAATGAAGAAATAAAGATAGCATTAAAGAACTCTATGGCAGGTAAAAGTCCAGGACCAGATGGGTATACTGTTAGATATTATAAAAAATATAGTGAATTGTTAATACCTAAATTAAAGGCCTATTTTAACACTTAGGGGGGAGAGATGGACATGAGACGAGAATCATTGCAGGCTCAGGTGGTCCTCATTTATAAGGAAAAGATCCCATCCAGTGCTCAAGTTATAGACCAATATCATTATTGAATACAGACACGAAGTTATATGCAAAGATCCTGGCAAATAGACTGAAAGATTTAATGCCCGAATGGATACATGAAGATCAGGTGGGATTTGTTCAAGGGAGAGAGGGCAGAGACAATGGGTTGAGATCATTGCTGCTCATTCAGAAAAGTAGAAAGGGAAGGACTCCAGTTGTGGTTCTTTCGGTAGATGCAGAGAAGGCATTTGATAGAGTTAACTTGGGATACATGATGGATAGATTGGAGGTCCTGAGAGTGGGAGCTAGAATGAGAGCATGGATAGGTCCTCTGCAGTTGTTATGGTAAATGGGGAGATGTCGGAGTCATTTGAGATGACAAATGGAACAAGACAGGGCTGCCCGTTGTCCCCATTGTTGTTCGTATTGTCCTTGGAATCACTGTTGGCAACAATAAGGAGAAATTTAGACATAAAAGGAATATGTGTAGGAAATACAGAGCATAAGGTAGGCACTTTTGCGGATGATTTATTGTTTTATGTCGGTAATCCTAGGATAACGCTCCCTAACTTAATGAGGGCATTGAAGGAATATGGAGAGATGTCAAATCTAAAAATTAACCCGGCTAAAACAGAGATATTAAATATAAATCTTCCAAATAAGGAAAAAAGAGGGATACAAGGGGAATTCCCCTTTGTATGGAAAGAGAGAGAATTAAAATACTTGGGAGTAAAACTCACCTCGGCATATAAAAACCTGTATAATCAATCAAACTATATAGTAATGCTAAATGAAATTAGAGAGGCACA